TCATGGATGGATGACAGGATTTACAGCAGCTCCTACACAAGCTAGGTCGGCGGTGGGGAGTCAGAAAAGGTCTAGGAGCGAAGAAAGAAAATGTAATGTGCAAAACCCACAGTGTTCTGCATTCATGTGTGAGGCTCCTGTGTAGATGTCAGTATGCATTTAAGTCCTTCATGGAGATAAAGCCGGCGTGTCATCACAGACAATGCAGCAGGGTTAGTGTGGAGCAGCCAGATAACAGCGAGGATGGAGGATGAAGGAAACAGGATGGAGTCCAGGCTGTTGTGTTGACAAAACTCTGTGGGCTCCAGAACGGAAACAACAGACGAGCAGCTGCAATCATCACAGCTCAACACTGGAAAATGTGTGTGTTAAATCTATAGACACCCACAGACACCAACACACATTAGCTACAGTTAAAGGGGCAGTTTGAAATAGGCGGAAATTTGGAGATTTTCTAGCTGGGAGTTAAAGGGAAATTTGCATCATGATGAAGTTATTGCAGGAAAATGATTGGGTATAAGAGAAGTAATAGAAATTAGAAAGAAATTTTAAGGGCAAAAAAATGGAGCCTGGGTTCAAATACATAACATCAATCACTACAGCATTTCCTTCACTCTTCACCAGGGTTCAACAACATGGATGGATGATAGAGAAAAAAAAAATCAAATTCATCATCGAGGAAAGAGCTCATTTTTTAGAATCAAATTATATTCACAAATGTTTTAATTACATAGATCCAAAATAAATGAAATGAAATGAAAAAAACCTGTCTTCCTCTGCACACGAGTTTAAAAGAATTGCCTGTAACCACTGATTTTCAGCTCATTATCTCTCATTAGTTTCATCTGATGAGAATCTGTCAGGTTGTAGCCTGTTAGCATTGATCTTCACACTGGCGCTAATCGATTCTTACTGCCCCCGTCAGACGGACGCTGATCTAAAACACATCAGATATGACTTTACTGACAGAGGTCACGTCCGCACAAGCACACTGTCTACATTACTAATGTCTACGCTGAGGTAAGATTTTGATTCAACTTGCAACTTCAGACGTGCCAGTGTTGCTGCCGAGGTAACATCTGATGTGTTACAGCCACGAACATTTAGTCATTTAGTTCTTGAATAAAGTAAACGGAATTTAATTTAATGTAATAGATGTGATTTACTGACTTATACTGCAAATGTAATAGATGTGATTTACTGACTTACACTGCATAAAAAAACAAACAAACAAAAACAGAAACAGCGGCTTTAAAGTGCCCTGCAGCAGACCAGTAATGCTCAAAATATCATCACCAATGCTATGCAACATGCTCCTAATTCAGCAGATTTAGACTCATATGTGCACTTTTCATTACATCCTTGATTTTTGATCGTACAATGTAGGCACAGGACAGTGATGACTCCACTGACGAAATTTGATTTGCCACACCTTACTTATTCCCAGTGTTGTTGCAACACGTCATGCTCCGTTGTATGTATTTACCTATACTCTGTGCACGTGTCATTTCATAACGTATGCTAATGTAGGATGACATCTACATTTTATTGTCTTTTTCACTGTAATCTAACCATTCCCCCCCCCCCCTCCCCTGCTGTCCAACAGGTGTTGTCATGACAACCGTGGAGCATTCGTCTGACAAACAAAAGAAACGGCATCTGAGAGGAGACAGAGACACAAATAGATCATAACACGTCTGTCACTTGTTTGAGTTAAAACTGTCACTTTTCTGAACAACAAAGGATGTTTCTCCTTCTTTGTCATCACTGTGCTTTTGTTTTTTTTCCAGTACAAAAAAAAAAAAGGGTTTTTTTTTTTGTTTGAAAAAAAAAAAAAAAAAAAAAAAAAAAATCAGACTGAAGGAGCCATGAGAGTGTTTGCAGCAGCTACTACTACTAATGTATTAGCAATGGCTCGTACACATGGGTGTTGATGATAACATTAGAGCATGATCATGGAGAACAACAAAGATGGACTGACCACAGCTAAAGAAAAACAACAACAACAACAAAAATCTATGGCTTTTAACTACTTTTGGTGTATCCTAGTGGTGAGTCAAATGTCGTGTCTGGGCGACCTGTTTGATATAATTGCTAGCTTTAAGCATGTTTTACCTAAATGTGCCCACAGTGATAGTCTGTTGTTTTTATAACTTTTTTTTGTAGCATTTAGCATTTTTACATTTCCATCTTACTTCCAATTTCAGTTAATTTCAGAGATTTATTTATTTCTATCTATTTATCCTTCCACCCATACGGGTATATTATACACATATATAATTAGTACATTAATATGTATATCTTAATTCATTTATATATAGATATATTTTACAGATCAGTAATTAAGGAACTAAAAACTAAAAAAAGAAACCTTTGTTCTACCGTTTCCAAATTTGTGACCCTGGTTTGACATAAAGACAAAGACAGGAGAAGAGGCTTCAACATTAATTAAAGAGGTCACGCAGACCAACGGGTGGTAATGATGCTGTCAAAATGCAGCGACAGACCTTGTCCACAGAAGATTTTCAAAGTTTACATCACGCTCAGACATAGTTTTAAACCACACAGATTTAAATGACTGAATCGTTTTCATCATCGAGGTAAGACAGTGTTGAATTATAGTTTTGATTTCATTATCTAACTGAAGACGTGTTTTCATTCAAAGCAGATGAATACGAACACATTCTTAAACATGAACAAATATCTGTCTGATACAATGCTAAAAGAGAAAGTTTAGGTAAAATACTCTGGGGAGAAAGTACAGAGATTCTTATACTTCTCCTGAGGTTGAGACAGGAATAGACTTTCTCCAGCAGAAGTTTTCATAACTTCACACTTTCAAAGACACACAGAACAAAAAAAAAAAATCTAACCCTGAACATGTCTTTGTAGCTCAGCATTGCAAACAAAGCCTCACCAGTTCAGAGATGATGCAATGTATTTCCATATTCACAATGTAGAAACAGCGGAAAAGACAAAGAGACCGAACACTTTGTTTTCTGATGAAATCTTCTCCTGCAGGAGCAACGAGTCCCTTCCTGGTTGGCATCACAAGAAACCTCAAAAAGTTATCGCTGTGTGTCAGGTGTCAGGTTTATTTCCGGTCTTCTGCTTTTGCTCGATGGCAAGAGTCAGACGAGCTACAACCAGTAGAGTCAGAAATAAACTGGGGTTCAAAATGACCTGGTTATAAGCCTTATATAATTTCCTTATAAAATGCACATTTGCAAGGCTAAAAAAATTAATTAGAAATTAACTTGATAATATAGCCAAAAGTTGTACTCAGGCTTGTATATAAATTGTTCACAATTTGCCCAAAATAATAATAATAATAATGGTAAAAAAAAAAACATAAAATATATTGATCCAAAGATTATATTTAAAAAATGTAAAAACCTTGTGAAGCTAGGTAGCAACAAATATACAGTTATATAATATAAAATGGTACAACTTAGCATGTAAATTAAAAAAGAATTAACTACATAATAAAGCCTAAAGCTGTTCACAGCTTGTATAGAAATTGTTAATAATTTGCCTCTAATAATAATAATAATAATAA